GGATATAAGATATCCATATCCTAGCCTCATTCTTACTGGGAAGACAATGAGTGAGGCTCTCATTAAAATTTCAGGTGGCTCCCTGCAGAATGAGAGTTTACAGCTTGAATTGCTGGATGGTTGGAGACTTTCTCCCAAACAATACTTATGGATCACCATGGAGATCTCAAATCTCTCTACTGCATGGTCTCACCCTTTACTTCTAATAGGGTTTGATATGTAGTTCAGAATTGCACTGGGTGACTGGTCAAAAATCAAAATTTGCCTGATTTTATTTATAACTCAAAAAACATTATTTGGAACTAAACCTTTCCCCCTTGTATGCTCACATCCCTGGTTCAAAGTTATAGTTTAGCATTCATTGGTCTGCAAAAATTTAGCATCATTTGTATATATACATATAAGCCTCTGTCCAGACATCAGAAAATTAGCATAATTCACTGTTGTATTTCCAGTACCTAACACCTGACCTAATGCTACTCAGTGTCAACTGAATTCTTAAATTTGTTTAAGTAGGGATCATATTTTCTTGTGGAGCTCTAAATGCCTTTCTTTGATTTTCTTTAATGTTGGAGAAGGTGCACACTTCTACTCCCTAAAATCTCAGCTGGTTCTGCATAAATAAACTTGACAGTTGGAGCTGTGTTGGAGATACTCTTCTTTCAGGTCTTCACTGGCCAGAGTGAAGATCCAGGTGGTCCTCTCACAGAGGCCCCAGATCTTTCTCTCTAGGAAAAGGCTCAGGGAGGAGGTTTCGGTTTATTTGGGAAACTTTAGGCCTTGGAGAACTTGAGTTTTTCTTAGCTTGATTCTCTAGTCCATTACTATGTCCACTGTGAGTCACTGTTGGGTGATATGCTCTAAGTAAACAAACGCTTCAGGACTGGCATTATGACACAGCAGGTAGAGCTGCCTCCTGTGACGCCAGCATCCCATATGAGCACTGGTTCGAGTCCTGACTGCTCTACTTCCAATCCAGCCCCCTTATAATTTGCCTGGGAAAGCAGCAGAGGATGCCCCCGGTTCCTAGGCCCCTAAATGCATGTGGGAGACCTAGAGGAAGCTCTTGGCTTTGGTCTGGCCCAGCTCTAGCAGTTGGGGCCATTTGGGAAGTGAACCAGTGGATGGAAGACCTTTCTTTCTCTTTCTGTCTTTCCCTCTCTCTCTCTCTCTCTCTGTAAATGTGCCTTTAAATAAATAAAATAGTCATGAAAAAATTTTAGAATTTAAAACAGAATAAAACGTAAAATGCTAACTTATGAAGCCAAATAGTGCAATTTCAAGTTCTACATTTACCCCCTTTTTCTCTCAGCCTTATTATCTGTGTAATGGAGGTTATCCTCTAACCTGCCTTGGGATGGTTCTAAGATAATGCCTGGGAAATTGTCCTGTGGCAAGAGGCCACAGTGTCTAAGAAGTTTTATAGTAAAGTAATGTTGAGCATAAGTGGAGACCAAGATAATCCTAAGGAAGGGATAGGATTCCTGTTGGGTTATTTAGTCCAGAAAAATATTCTGTGAAAGGCTAAAACTCTTCAATGCATGAGAGGAAGTTTTGTGATCAGTTTCTTGATGAAGTGAGAAGGAATATTGAAAACAGTTGATTAAATAATGTGACTTTTAAGATATTCTGCTCCAACAAGGTTCCTGGGAAACCAGTGTGATAGATGTTCTAGAAATCTACAATGATAAAATGTTCTGAGTGATGCCCACCAGGAGTCATGTAGCCCTGGGTTGTAGGAAATCACCAGACCATAGATCAAGACAGCCTTATTGTCTAGGTAACAGGCATTTATTTCACCTAACTCCTGCTTGCAGCATCCATTCTTGGCTTGATGAGATTTTTGCTTTATATATCAGGGCAAAATATTTGAAGGTTTACATTTTTGTCATTAAATATTAAGCATGCCTCGTCTATATCTAACACAGTGCATTATGATGAGTTTCTACATAAGCTCGTCCCTCTTGCAAGACTGAGAACTTCCTTATTCAGGGAATAATACAGAGTTTATTTTAACATTTTCTTTGTCTAGTGGGGGATGGGACATAGTAAACATTTCACGAATGTTTATTGAATGACTATCCAAATCTTCTTTAAGATTTATTTTTTTTTTATTTGAAAGGCAAAGTTACAGAGAAGCAGAAGCAGAGAGAGAAAGAGAAGTCTTCCATCCTCTGGTTCAGCCCCTAAATGGCCACAGTGGCTCGGACTGGGCCGATCCGAAGCCAGGAGCCAGGAGCCTCTTCTAGGTCTCTCATGTGGGTGCAAGGGCCCAAGGACTTGGGCCTTCCTCCACTGTTTTCCCAGGCCATAGCAGAGAGCTGGATCAGAAGTGGGGCAGTCATGATTTTAACCGGTACCCATATAGAATGTTGGCACCACAGGCGACGGCTTTACCCACTAGACCACAGCGCTGGCCCCCCAAATCTTTACCAGTAGTGCTTTCCTTTTAACTAGTCAGGTTATTTTTTTATTTTTTGCCAGTTAACAGCCTTTCTTAATTGCTTTTAGCTGACTCATTGTGGTCTTAGAGAACTTTGGATATGATTTGATTTTTACCATTTTCTCTGTTGATCCTAACAGAGGGCTTGGTAGTTTTAGTATGGTTTGGAGTACAGGTACACATGCTCTTTGGAGCTCTATATTTTCCTTTGAAAGTTTTTCTGATTAATGGGGCCATCTTTTAATTCCAGAAAAAATGTGTCTTGAGACCAAGATTCCACGATTTTTAAAAAGGTTTTATTTATTTATTTGAGAGGTAGAGTCACAGAAGGAGGGACAGACAGACATGTCTTCCATCTGCTGGTTCACTCCCCAAAAGGCTCCAATGGCCAGAGCTGGGCCAATCCGAAGCCAGGAACCAGAAGCCAGGAGCTTCCTCTGGGTCTCCCACGCTAATTCAGGGACATAAGCACTTGGGCCATCTTGCACTGCTTTCCCAGGCCATTAGCAAGAGAGCTGGATCAGAAGAGGAGCAGCTGGTAATCAAGCCAGTGCCCACATGGATGCTGGTCCCTCAGGTAGAGGCTTAGCCTATTGTGCCACAGTGCTGGCCCCTTAGATTTCACTATTTTTTTAAAAAATGATTTATTTATTTATTTGAAAGTTAGAGTTACAGAGAGAGGGAGAGACAGAGAGAGAGTGATCTTCTTTCAACCAATTCACTTCCCAGATGGCCACAGTGGCCAAGCCTGGGCCAAACGGAAGCCAGGAGCCAGGAGTTTTATGCAAGTCTCCCATGTGGGTGGCAGGGGTCCAAGTACTTGGTCCATCTTCTGCTGCTTTTTCCAGGCCATTAGCAGAGAGCTGTATCAGAAGTGGAGCAGCCAGGACACAAACCAGCATGGTCATAAGGTGGTGGCTTTATCTGCTACATCACAATGCCAGTCCCCAAAATTGTACTTTTAAATGTATGCCTTTGCTACTTGACTTTTATTTTCCTGGAGCTAGGCAGTGTGACTCTTTTCTTAAAAAGTCATTATTTCCCCAGGATCCAGCACACAGACCCTTTCTTCACTCTTGCTCATTATATGCTTTCTATATCACCAGCAATTGAACAGACCAGGGAGCCAGGAAGCCAGGGAGCCAGGGAGCCAGGGAGCCAGGGAGCCAGGGAGCCAGGGAGGATATTGGAATTTACCCTCAAAAGACTGTAGTCATGGATAATGGAATATGGATTTTCTTTATTTATTGGAAAGACTGAGAGAGAAAGAGAGAGAGAGAGAGAGAGAGAGAGAGAGACAGTCTTCTATCTATTGGTTCACTTTTCAAATGACTGCAACAGCTATGACTGGGCCAGGCTGAGGCCAGGAGCCAGGAACTCCAATCCTAGTCTCCCACATGAGTGGCAGGGGCCGAGGTACCTGAGCTGGTATCTGTGGCCTTCTCAGGAGCATTAGCAGGGAGCTGAATTGGAAGTGGATTAGGCAAGACTCAAGCCAGTGCTCTTATATGAGATGCCAAAGTCACAAGTTGTGGCTTAACCCACCATGCCACAACACTGCCCCCTAGGCTTTCTAATAACATTGTCTGCAGTCACCATATTTAGTAAGTAGCTTTGCTAGAATTAATGCTGGTAGAAAAGTGAATCTATTTTTCCTGGACTATCTTATCATGAGGTCACCCTTCCTGTCCAAACAGTGACTTCACATGTCATTTACAAATGAGTTCCAGTAGGGATTACAGTTTGAAAAGCCCACATGCTCTAAAGGAGGGTATTGGTCTATTTTGCATTATTCTAACATTATTCTATTCTATTCTATTATTATTCTATTCCATTATTCTAACTGGGTAACTTTCTAAAGAAAAGAAGTTTATTTTGCTCACAGTTCTGGAGGTTCAAGGGCTCACATCTGGTGCTGGCCTTCTTGTTGGCAGGGCCCAAGGTGGCAAAGGCTGCCATATGACCAGGGACAGGGCACACACATGTGTGTCTCCTCAGATCTCTCTTATTCTTCTTATAAAGCCACCTGATTTCAATCATGCAGCCTCCACCTGGATGACCTTGTCTGACCTTATCATCTTTAAGTCTCTTCTTTTAAGCACTGCAGTTGGATTAAGTTTTCACTCTTTCAGTACCCCACATGGGTATTAAACTCAAACATGTGAACCCTTGGGATGTGCTCAAACCATATTCGGGCAATTAGGAAGGAAGAAATTGTAGGAAAACATTTCATGTGTGCCTTGATTCTGCTTTCTCAAGGGGCCCTTCATTGCCTTCATTAGGTCGATGTTCATTAGGAAACCAAAAGGTCAATGAAAAATCGTTGGCACACACTACTCCCTGACCTTTGCTTTACACATATCTTATTCTTGTTTGTCAATTTATTCTCACAAATAGGGCCATTCAGGGACTTTCTTTAAATCACAGAGACTCTCAGATAAGTGAAGCATAACTCATTTTCCCTCCTACCTAAGGGAGCCCAAAGTGTCTGACCCTACTCCTCATACTCCTGCCTGGACTGTGTGTCAAGAACCTTAGGAGAATTCTGCCTAAACTGTCAGGAGTGTTTTAGGCCAATAGCCCTGTGCAGAGCGTCTTTGACCTCTTTGTTCCTCAGGGTGTACACCACGGGGTTCAGAAGGGGTGTGATGACTGTGTAGGTCACAGAGATCAGCTGGTCCTGATCCCTGGTGTTCTCAGACTTGGGCTTGAGGTAGGCAATGGAGGCACAGCCATAGTGGACAATGACCACAGTGAGGTGGGAGGCACAGGTCGCAAAGGCCTTCTTCCGGCCTTCAGCTGAGGCGATATTGAGTATTGTAGAGATAATGAGAACATAAGAGATGAAAACCAGACCCATAGGAACAACAAGTACCAAAACACTGATGATCAAAGTCAAGATCTCATTGACAGTGGTATCAATGCAGGAGAGCTTCATCACTGGTCGGATGTCACAGAAGAAGTGGGCCACCTTTGTGGCACAGAAAGGTAATCTGAAAACAGAAGTCACCTGTGTGATGGCTACAATCAGCCCAATGCTGCAGGCACCCCACACCAGCTGGATGCACACCCTTTTGTTCATAATAACTGTGTATCTCAGGGGGTTGCAGATGGCCACGTAGCGGTCATATCCCATTGCTGTGAGCAGGAAGCAGTTAGTGATGCCAAATGTTACAAATAAGAACATCTGGGTGGCACAACCTGCCAATGATATGGACTGGCTCATGCCCACGAGGCTAGAGAGCATCCTTGGCAGAATGACCAATGTATATATGGTCTCTGAAGTGGACAGCATGCTCAGGAAGAAGTACATTGGAGTGTGAAGATGATGATCAATTCGGATAATGGTCACAATGATTACATTGCCTGCTATAGTTAAGATGTATAATGTAAGGAACACAACAAAAAGGGTGAGTTGATACTCATGGAAGCTGGAGAAACCTTGGAATGTAAATTCAGTAATGAGAGTGCAGTTCTCTCTCTTCATTGAGTGATTACCAAATCTGAAATGTAGAAGAATAAAAGTTATATTGCTTCAGTAAGGCAGGTTAGACACATTTCCAGAATTGATTGAATTTAGTTCTCAGCTATAAATCTGAGGATAAATTTCCTAGTGGATTAAATTTAATCCCTGGGTTTACATAGCTTCACTCAGAATAATTTTACTCTGTGTCTGTCTATTAGTTTTCTACATATACTAGAGTCATGTAGTCTCATTTTTCTTACCATATATAACTATTCCTATCTCTACTTCACTCCTACTCTCCTCCTTGACCTTGGAATGTCCTTCTTCCTTTTCTACTTTTATTCTTTAGAGATGATTGAAAGTTTTCAGTCCTCCATACAATAATATTATATTCTTATGTTCTTGTGTCTATTTGGATTATTTTGTAGCCTCATCATTACTTCTTCTTTCATATATACACTCAGGAACTTTGTAATGCCTATCACATGTTTCATATCTGACTAGTTCAGGATTATGCATGAATTAGATGCTTGAAAACAATTTGTTTAGGGGTGAAACAGAGACTTCTTTTGTTTCAAAACTATGAATCTTTCCTACTGCACATCTCCTAGGAAGGAGAAGCAATACAGATACAGAAAGGTTCATCCTGTTTTCAAGAAGGGGAAGGGAAATTTTAACCAACAACCACCTCTCCCCACAACTGTCTGAATGATGGAAGTCTGCTGACAGTTCCCAGCACTGATTCACGTATGTTATAAACCGTGCTACATCTTTACTTTCCCTAAACTCAAAAGCAAATTTACAGCCAATACAACTTTGTGAGTAAGCATACACCTACTTTGCAGGGCTAAACAATTGTACCAGGGAGGATGCAACAAATTCAAGTGTCCCCCACCCAAAGCCAAAGCAGACCCTGAAGATAAAAAACAGAGATACACTAAAGATACATCATTTTGTTGTGAGATGGGGATCATTCCAATTTATGTAATATTTCACATTTTTGTCTCTTTAAACAGTAAGCTCCTGTAGGGTATTTAAATTATATTCTGATTTGCTTATGCATATTCAGAAAGCAACTTTTTGCATAAAGTAAATCACATCAGTGATGAAGGTTACTAGGCATGGAGACTTTTCTTAAGAGTAAAAAAAAAATCTATTTACAAGTTGTTGATGACCAGCTGTTAATCATTTACACTAAGAATGCTAAAAGAGAGTACGGCTGTAATAGAGAATATTTCCCAATGGAAAAAGTCATTTGACACTAAAATATGTAGTTAAAGACATTCATCTTCTGTGAGACTGTTGAGCATAAACTAGGCAATAATCTAGCCATGGGTTAGTATGATAAGTCTATGGTGAAATCAGAAATGCCCGACAGAACTTTTGATTGCTGTAACAACAAGCACAGGTGCTACTGGTAATTAATGGTGCTAAATGTCCTGTAATAAATACATGGGACTGTTGATCCCATGGACTTATTATGTCCCAGATACCAGTAGTGTTCCCATTGAGTAATACTGAGCTAGATTGCTATCTGTTCTGGCTAAAGTGTGCTATCTTAATGAAAAAGAATGACTCTACTGACCTGGTTAGCATCCTCCACCCTTAAGAGCCTATAATTCTTCAAAGGAAATCAAGGGAAGGAAGAGCAAACATATCCTTATGAAGACCTACCCTGCTGTGACAAGAGCTGTTTTGCTGCAATAAATTGGAGTCAGTCTATGGCTAGCAAGCCCCATATCATTCCCTTTTTTAAAGAGCACTTACATGATTCTGCCTTGTCCCAGACACAACAGGAGAGCTGGACTAGAGGAGGCCAAGGAATAAAAATCAAAATTTTAGGATTCCTTGACCACACTGTGGAGGTGCAAGAAAAAGCAAAGTGAGCAAAAGGATCTGTGACAGTGTCTGAGACCAAGCAGGCAGGAGATAAACACGTTCTATTGAGAAGGTGTTGAGATTTGGGAGTCACAGTCATTCTTGACAGACCCTTTGTTTGGACAAGTCTTTGAAGCCAGAGAAGGTGCTCTCCAAGGATCAGCCAGTTGGGTTTCTGGAAGTCACTCCCTGAAGACATCCTGAGAACCACCTGAGCTGGGAGGATGTAGGCAGCAGGTGCCTGGGGATCTCATTATATGTGGGACTCATTTACCCAATCTGAGGGTTAGTGCTTTGGGAGACTGGAAAAAGTTTTTTTTTCAAGTAGGAACATCATTAGAGGAAGTTGGTTTGTTTAGATAAGATTTACTATTGGAGTAAGTACATTGTGTATTTTTGTTTTTACAGATGTGCCTTACAAGTCTATAGCGACAAATAGAGGCAGCCCAACCTCACAGCCATCTTGGATCTCAGGAAATCCAGACCATTCACTTATAGGCAGAGACTCTCCCCAGAATGAGAATCTGGTTTTCTTTTTATAATAAAAACAGCTAAATGGGCCATGACTTAGCAGAGGGAAGTTTAGGATGCCTGTCTTTGCACCGTAGCATTCAGGATTGGAAGTGAATATCCTTTAGCCATGAAGATCTTCTCATGGAAGCTGGAGAGTGAAGATGATGCTTCAAATGCTCTGTTTGCTTTACCCAGAGTCTCCTTCCTTTCTTTATTTGGCAAAAATTTAGTCTGTCAAGACCCAATTTTAAATTTACTTCCCAATGGAGACTTGCCATGAGTAGCCTTACTGCTTCTTTAGCAATTTCTTAGTCTAACATGTGGTGTATGTCTGTGCCCATCCATTCTTCAAGCACTTAGCATATACCAGGACTTTTGTTAGTTGCTAGGAATTCAGAAATGAAGAAGATGCTGCATTGGCCTTTGAGGGGGCCACAGTTTAGTTACTGGTGATAGAGAATCATCATAAACTGAAACAGTTACTGCATGTAAATGAGACAGGGAGGAGACAGCAGCCCTTGATTACACTCAGGTTGATTACAGAAAATTACATTGTGTAGGTAGGTAAAGGGAGACCAGCTGACAAAGGATTTTAGTGGATTTTATCACTTTTAAGGGCCTGTCATCTGTTTCTTACTTATCCCTTCTGTTCATGGATTTCAAAGTTCCTTAGCAACTGACTTCTTAAGGTAATTAACTTTTGTGACTGCTAGCCACCCTATTTCCTCTTCTTATCTCTCCAGTGATTGTGTTTCCCTGCTAGACAAACATCATCAGTACTGGGATTTGACAGGTCTGACGTGGCAGCAGTGTGAATGTGGATTTGAGGTTGGTGAGAAGAGGCAGGGAAACCAGCTAGGCTGATGATGTAACAAAAATAGCTGGGATTGATCAGAGGGGTAACAATGAGCCTGGAGAGGAGGGAGAGATGTGAAACATATTTGAGACAAATCAATAGGGCTTGTACATGGATCAATGTGTAGATCAATGGAGAGGAAAAACCAATCCTTTCATAAACTACTCTCATGAAGTTCATTCATACTAACTTCCTGATTATTCACAAATTTGCATAGTTTCCAACTGTAACACATGAATCAAACAAACTGATCTCTATACCAATGATTCATCATTGGATAATGTTGATGGCTATGGGATTTCAACAGAACAGGATAGTGTTAATGAAAAGAGATCAATAATCTATGATGTCATTGCTTTGGGGGCAAATTAAGATTTTGGAAATGGGAAGCTGGGTTGATGGTTCAAAAATGTAGTGCTTGGTGAAAGGGAGAAATATTAAGCTTCAGTGCCAACTATTGTTTATTGAATACTCGCATAGATTTTCCAATCCTCTAAGTGACTTTATAAAGTCAATATTATCCCATTTTATGGGTAAGAGATGTGTGAGAGACCACTCAGCCATTAACAGTAAATATATTTGGATTTGGTGCTAGAAATAAATGAGCACATGCAGAGTGACTCTAGAAATAACGTTGGCAAAGCAGCCAAAAAAACCTCTGTAAACTTTCCTAGTAATGCAGACTGCTTTGTTTGGGGGCCAGATTCCTGGAATCTTATTATATTTCATTCTGGCATTCAACTCAGATTAGTATCTCAGGTCCAGACATCCTAATGACCCTTTGAAATTGCTAATAGGATTCCTTCAGAACACTAAGTAGGACTCACACAGATTTAACTGAGGTCCCAAAGTTATGTCTGCTCTTGAACTGTCTTCTACCATATTCTTATCATCCACAGGTGCAGGTTCCAACTTTTTATGTATGATGACCTTTTAATTTCAAAATATTTCATAGATCTATAATAGATAATAATGGTTATATAATGATAATTGTGCTATTTGTATATATTGATAAAACAGTACATTTTGAAAAAGAGAACCATAAGGTTAGTATTTGGTGCTTTAAATTAAATTATGGTATCTTCAAACATGGTTGCACATGGTCTTTGTGTAAGTATTTTAGACTGTGTGTGAGAATTAGTGGTACATATGAATCCTTAGACTCTTTCAAATGGCAATTAAGCAAATAGGAGAGAAAAAAGGATGATGCAATGAGAAGAGTTTTGGTAGTAAATGAGTATTGGGGAAAGGAATCTGGAGGAGAAATACAGACAGGTTCTGAATGGTGTATTAACACATGGCAGGTGTATCCAGGAGTTAATCCTTGGGAGTTCCTAGGAAAATAGAGTCCTTTTGCTAGAACATGAGATCAGGGACAATAGGAGAATCCCATTTGTGAAGGCAGAACCTCCTGGGAAGAAAGAACTTACTCTATGAATCACAATCCTGTTGTCAAAGCTCTATGTCCATATCAAGGGCGACTTGATGGTGACTTCAGAGAGCAGGGTGGGTGGTTGGGGAGGAGGTGCTTCCCATGTACCAGAAGGTCCATGACACTGTTGGCTACTCACAGTAGCCCTGGGAGATTGATATTGTTAACCCAAGTGTACAGATAGGAAATGAAGGCCAAGGAAGTTAAGTAACATCCCTGATGCCTTATGCTTATAACGGTGGATCAATCATTGGGAATAGATGCATTTCTGGGGCCAAAGCCTGTGCTCTGTGTACAATATCACAGAACACAAGTATCAGGTATTTTGGATTATTGGTTTCTTGGAAGGAGGTCAGGATGAACAACTGTGGGAAAGAAGATACACGTACAGGTCAGGAGTCCGATGTGTCCAGTAGCCCTTGGCCCACCTCAGAATTCGTTTTTTTTTCCCTTCCTCTTTGTGATTTAGAGAAATGACACACCAAAATACTAAGGAAAAAGGGCATATTGGAACATACAATTTCTGAACTTTTTGATTTCCAAAGTCCAAGGACATCCCCGAAAGTATTTAAGATTTGTGTAAATCCACAATTTGGAAGACTCCTTCTTCTCATAGTAATAAGGAATTGTATAGTTTAATGATAAAGGAGAAAGGTGGCTACAATAATCATGAGCTTATAGTGAAACTTCAGACCCTGGGGTTGGGTTGCTTATGTCTGAATCCTGAATCTGCTGCCCCCTATCTCTGTGGCCTTCTTTAGTCTTTGCAGGTCTCAGTTTCCTCATCTATAAAATGAAAATAATAAAATGCCTATCACATTGAAATGTAGTGAGGATCAACTGAACAATATTTAGCATTTTGCCTATCATCAATGATACACTCAATAAAGGTACCAAAAGAGGATGTCAGAAAGCCTGAAAATATAGTAACAAAAGGAAAAGAGGTATAAAGATTGCCTGCTGATGATAATTATATTTTCACTGCTGTCACTATTCCTTCTTCCTTTTAATAAATAATTATTGATGGCCGGCGCTGCAGCTCAATAGGCTAATCCTCTGCCTGCAGTGCCGGCACACTGGGTTCTAGTCCCGGTCGGGGCACCGGATTCTGTTCCGGTCGCTCCTCTTCCAGTCCAGCTCTCTGCTGTGGCCTGGGAGTGCAGTGGAGGATGGCCCAAGTGCTTGGGCCTTGCACCCCATGGGAGACCAGGAGAAGCACCTGGCTCCTGCCATCGGATCAGCGCAGTGCGCCGGCCGCAGCGCACCGGCCAAAGCCGCCATTGGAGGGTGAACCAACGGAAAAGGAAGACCTTTCTCTCTGTCTTTGTCTCACTGTCCACTCTGCCTGTCCAAAAAATAAAAATAAAAAAAAATATTGAGCATATATGAGCACTCTGTACCGGGCATATCTTAGAGAAATTGTTGAAAAGAGAACACACAGAGTGAAGCCTGAGCGATTGTTCCAGATACAGATAATATCTTCCTTAGTCTGGGTTCCCTAGAAAGCAGAAGCTGAATCTGAGACCCAAATGCAAGTGACTGATTAAGGGAATACTCTCAGAGAAAAGGGAGTGAGAGAAGCAGGATGGGATGGAGAAGAGCTAAGCAATAATGTGGAAGTTAACTTGAGGCCGATTCAGTGGAGGGCTCTAGAATTTTTACACTAAGGTTAGTTCCATCTTGAGGCATGATGAGAGGCACTACCCACCCACTGTTTTACAATGCCTTATGACAAGAATAGCAAGAATAATGCCTATCATCCTATTGCAATGCATAGGTACGTTTTGTCTTATTTGATTTTCATCAAATCTGGTAAATCCCTCCATCTAGCTCGGCAAATGCATCCATCTCATCTTTCATTAATATTTTCCTTTGTTTCACTCTCTCCCTCTGGTTCTGTGTCATTAAGATGTTCATGTGGGCTACCTTTGCACGGTGAGAATTGTACTATCTTAGATTTCTTTCAGCCAATGACAATTCTTTACAGAAGAGAGCAGCTATGCACAGTCAGCATTTCAACATTCACATCAACTGAGAATGGGTACACCAGCCAGCAGGGGGTGTCACTGCAGAGCAAAAACAGAGCACATCATATCCCAGGTGTCTGGGGAGAACGCAGGAGGTAGGAAAGATGGAGACTCTTCTTTTGCAATTTCCAAATATGAAGGAAGACATTTTTATTGCTGTTGCTTAAGCAGCTTGAAAGATAAACTTTTCAACCAGCTTGTAAACTGGCTATTAGAGCTTGTGTCCGACAGCTGTCTAGGGTTTACGCATGTTGTAATAGGTACAAGGTAAACAATTAATGGTGTGGATTGTTTATGGTTGTTGTTAATTATAGTATAAAATATAGCACTGGGAGTGTCATGTGTACCTAGCAGAGGGCTTGTCATTTTAGAGCTCTGATTTTCTTACTGAGGCCAAATTCAGCATACATAAATGCCTGTGATATGATACTATATATTCTTCCCAGGCTGCCTGCTAGTTTACAGTACCTTATGCCACAAGTAACAGGAATAATGTCTAACATTATACTACAGTGCATAGATATGCTTTATCTTACTTGATTTACATCAAGTTTGATAAACCCATCTGTCTGGCTTGGCAAATCCATCCATCTCTTATATCATGAGTATTTTCCTTCTTTGTTTTATTTTATCCCCACCCCCAACCACATTCCCAGATCAGGCACTTGGTGTCCTCATACTATCTGTTATCTGAATAACTTCCTCATTGTGTCACCTCAACAAGTATTTTTCACTTCATTGCTATTGAGACTGACTAGCATCTAAGAGAAGGTTTTTTTTTCCCCAAAACTCTGAGCAAGGAGTCTTTGACCTCTTTGTTCCTCAGGGTGTATACAACAGGGTTTAAGAGGGGAGTGATGACAGTGTATGTCACTGAGATGAGCCTGTCCTGCAGGGAATTTTGGGATTTGGGTTTTAGGTAGATGAAAGAGGTGCAGCCATAGTGGACAATGACCACTGTGAGGTGTGAGGCACAGGTTGCAAAGGCCTTCTTCCGGCCCTCAGCAGATGCAATCTTGAAGATGGCGGTGACAATCAGGACATAGGAGATGAAGATCAAGACCATGGGCAGAACAAGAACATACAGGCTGATGAGCAAAGTGATAAATTCCTTGATGGTGGTGTCAGCACAGGCGAGCTTCATGAGGGGCCGGATGTCACAAAAGAAGTGGGAGATGACGTTAGCATCACAGAAGGGTAGACTGAACACAGAAGACACCTGGATGATGGCTGTGCTCAGCCCAATGATCCAGGACCCACCTGCCAGTTGCAAGCATGCCTTTTTTCCCATGATGACTGAATATCGTAGAGGGTTACAGATGGCCACATACCGGTCATACCCCATAGCTGTGAGCAGGAAGCAGTTGTTGACACCAAAAGTGAGATAGAAGAAGAGCTGGCTGGCACACTCTGGAATGGAGATGGCTTGTTCTGGGTTGAGGAGACTGGACAGCATTCGGGGGATGATGGCCACGGTATAACAAGTCTCAGAAATGGACAGCACACTTAGGAAGAAGTACATGGGTGTGTGAAGTTGACGGTTCAGGTGAATAACTGTCAAGATGATAGCATTACTGGCAAGGGTTAGCAGGTATAAGATCAAAAATGCCACAAAGAGGATGAGTCTATGGTGCCACCCAAAAATAGAGAAACCTTCAAAGGTAAACTTCGTTACCACTGTGAAATTGGTTCTTGGCATTGAGGAGAATCTGGGTCTGAAAGACATTAAGTGGGAAAATTAACTCTTCAAGCTGGACTCAGTAGCCTGGTCCAGGTAATCACCATTTATGTGAGGAGACTCAGAAATGCTGTAGCTCAGGTTTTATAAGCACTCAAAATTAAATACTGGTCAAGTGCTCAAAGATCTCTCAAGTTCTCAGAGCCTTGGGACTGGGAAAGATGTAGTGGGGGACAGGGAGAGAGAAAATATGCAAAGAAACTATTGGAAACTCTTAACTACCTTTGCTAGAAGTAGATAAAGAACAGAGAAGCCACTAAAATTACTGTTCTCACCTTTGGAACATCACTGAAACTAACCTTGTTTAAACCAACAATGGTCCCTTGTGTGTCAGAGTGCTAAGGACACACCTAACAAATGAGTTAGTTTGACCAGAGACAGAGCTGTGAGGGGCACATTCCTGGGAGGTAAGGGACCAGTTCTAACTCTGTTCCAAAGGGTTTTCATTTAGTGAATTAAGGCAGCAAACACTGCCTCCACACGTGGTTCAAAGTAAAAATTACTAATGACTGGAATATGGCAGTGAGAGGAGACACTGCTTTTTATTTTTTCTTTTAGAAGAGTCTGGTGTGTGGACCTATAATGATCTGTGAACCAGAATCAATTCCCTCTTCATTCCCACTTTCTTTCCACAGCCCCAACATAGCACTTGTATTAGTAAATACCTGCACTTCCCTTCTTTTATGTGGAGGGTCGCTTCTGCTTCGATTATCAAGTCTCTAGTTAAGTTCAATAAAACTTCGGAAATTCAGAAATACTAATATCTGTAAGACAACAGTGATTAAAAAAAAAAAAAACACAAGAAAATCTTTAAGTTCATAAAAGTCTTGTCTTTAACCCCAGTGTAAATGGAGAGATGCCTGGTTTTCTTTGCTTGTTCCATTTGTCTCCATTTGCTTATCTATAAAATAGAGAGAAGATTATCCACCCCATCATGTTGCCATGGAGATTATATGAATACTGTATATAAATTGCCATGCTCAGTTCTTGATAAAAAGCAGACAAACAATACATTCAATTTTTGCTTCTCTCCCTTCATCTGACCCCCTCATCCCCAATCCCCACTTCCAATACCTCTTGGATCTAACTGTAAGTTGGGGCCACACAAACATACACATACACACACACACACAAACACTTTCTTGCTTTGTTGTGTTTATGGATGGCTATTGTCATTAGTTTCTCTAGTCCTTGTCCATCAACTAGAAAGAATAATCCTTAATTTTCTTACCCACTTCTCTTCTAACTCTAGATTCTGAAATGTGGGGGGATGGGATGGGGTGTTCTGGAGTCAGACACCTTTGTGATTAAACACCAGTTCCACTTATTTTACTTGTAACCTTGAAAATGTTTCTCATCTCTCTAGGCCTCAGCGACTTCACCTGTGGAATGAAGACAGTACTAACATCTACCCAGGGAACTGACGCCTGAATTAGGCATTTAGCAGGAGAGCCTAGCACACAGAAGATGCTGCTAAAAAATGGTAACCAAGGATATATAGATCAGACATTTTGAAATATAAATATTTTATGTCATTACTTTATCATTTATATTTCTTAGAGAATGAAAAATGAGGGTCATTGTCTGACACTTTTCTCCTCCCAAGCCTGACATCAAGGCTAGGAGGTGGTCTTCATCCAGCTCATGTTTGGCTGGTAGCTGGCAGTTTAAAGATATTCTGCTGTCATTTGGAGACATCAGAAGGAGATAGCAGGGAAGGAAACACAATACTGAAGCAGGGGTGAGAAGTCCAGGGACGTTGGATGGCATGGGTGAGCCATTACCAGGGCTCCCCTAACCCCCACAAGTTCTGCAGAATGCCTGTGCCCAGAGCTTCCCACTCTGACCCTGCACTCATGCCACACTGAGGTGTCAGCCAGCCTCTTGCTGACCTGCGTCTTCCTGGACTCTGACTGAGATCTGGAGGCAGGAAGGAGAAGGAAACAGCAGGGACTTCTTTGTTCAGAAAATACATTTTTCCAGTTCAAAGAGAGGGGATTCCGTCACTGAATGCGAGTCAGATGTTCCATCCTTGCCTTTTGGTTCCACATACCAGAGTGAGACAGAGGGTGGCAGGGACAGCACCGATTGCTCCAGTTTTCCTGGCTCACTCAGTATGACATCCTTCTGATTGTATTTTGGGCTTACTTGATCAGTTAAGCCCTTTGAAACCTGTGCCTGAAATTCTGAAAGGCTAGTGCCCACATAATCCTCTCTGGCTGACATTTTTGAGCATTGATGCTTTTAAATCCCTAAGTTTTATGATGCAGCCATATATTCACCTTTTTCCCACTTGGCAATATTCCAAGAAGATAAAAGAAAAAGAACAATTGGTTTCCCATGACACAGGGCCATGAGGCCCCATTTAGTCACAGAATGAGTCTCTCTGCTTCATCGAGTGGTGGAATGTGACTTACGTCTGACCAGGAAGGGATGTGGCTCTTTCAGGGCTAGGAGAGTAAAGCTGGAAACCACTGTTTCCAGTTGTGTTGTAGAGGCCACAACACAGAAAATCCTCCAAAGGGAATGACCAGAAGAAAACGGAAACCACCAAGGTTTCCAGTTAACTCCTCTACCTGATTAATCAGATCTGAGAATAGCAAGCATACTGAAAGTAGCTCTCCTGTGCTTTCCCCATTGCCCTGTCTCTTTAAGTCTGGATTTCGGCTGTCTGCTCTGCCTAGGACCCTGGGGTCTCTTTTCCCAAAGTGACTGTCCCCAAGGCAGCTCTAGCAAGTTCCAAACACCGAGATGTCTGGGGATCTCATTATGAAAGCAGTTCATCAACCCAATCATATAGATTGATACTAAAACAAACTAAGATTTCCCACAGGGACAAAGTCTTTGCACCAGGTCATGGTCCTGCCTTGCTCAGTGAGTGAAGAACTCTTGCTTCATTACCACAATCATAGAGAGGGCCTCAGGACCCAACCAAGTTTAAGGATGCAGCTTCATTAGATAAGTCACACATACTCCAAAGTCTCTTTGTCCTGACAGTGAAGGAACTGTCTGTGAGCAATTTATTCATTTCATTGATTCTGTCACTAAATAATGATTAAGCAAATAATTAATTCTCATATGCTGAGTACACCGAATGTAGGAGAAACCTGAGCATATAGTAGAAAATGCATCTGTACTGCATGCCAGTTCTGCTGGCTTTGTATCACCTGTGCATCACCGTGTATTACCTAGGAAAAGCTGAGAACCTCTTACTCTGGAAAGACCAGAAGGAAGTCTTGTATTAGAGTTGTCTTGCCACTCTCTTCCAGTGTTTAGTCAGCAAGAAGCCCCAGCCTTGTTTATCTTGTATAACAGGAGCCCAAGGTAGACCTTGCTGAAGGTTGGAGGAAAACCAGATAGCAAATCCACCAGGTTTTCCTAGGACCTGGGTCTCAGTAATTCATAGTTATGGTGTTCAGTATATGCCTTTCTTTTAGGAACTCAAAGAGTAGAAGATTCCCTTTCTGAGTACCAGAATACCAAGAGATGAATCCTTGAAAGACAGTTTATTGTGTTGTCTTTGACAAGCCAAGAAAACTGAGAGACTGACAAGCGTACAATAGTTGCCAGGCATTCAGTTCAATTCCACGTAATCTCTGTCAAGGTCCTCAAACATTTACTAAGGGAAACTGAAAATACTTGAGCTCATCATGGCTAAGTGATGAATTTCTAGTATATTTATCACTGCTTAAGAACGGCCTGTGCATAACCTCATTGAATCTGTTTGAAATCCTTCCGGGAGTGGCATAAAGTTAGGCAGCAAATCTTATCGAGACCTTGAAGCAATCAATTCATCTAAAGCTTTATTTGTTGATGTTCCTCCTTCACAGTTTGTCTGTTAGCTCTATTTAAATATTATAGCTCTTTGAAATTAGAAATAGAATGGAAATTCTGATATTGAAATTATGTACGGTGAAACCACTGATTTAAAAAACTGATTTTTATTGTATATTTATCTGAAATAAGATGGATGAAAAACTATAAAAGTCTGAAGTAGATGGAGTTTTATTCTTAAAAGGGAGAAACAATAGTATTGATTACACCATTTCCAAATTTTTTTAACTTTTCTTTTTTAATATATTTTTAAGGATTTATTTATTTGTCTTATTTACTGATTTTGACTTATTGCATTTGATTATGAACTATAATACTGAATATTAGCAGCTAGAGTCATTTTTGTCTTTCTACAGATCTGAATTTAAATGCTTCTCATGTTTTATTAATCATTAAATATGATACTTATTACAGGGTCTGGTAGATGCCATTTTTTTAAAAAAAATATTTTTATTTATTTGACGGGCAGAGTTACAGAGAGGCAGAGGCAGAGAGAAAGAGAGGTCTTCCATCTGTTAATTCCCTCCCCCAGATGGCCGCAATGGCTGGAGCTGAGCCAATCCAAAGCCAGGAACCAGGAGCTTCTTCTGGGTCTCCCACGTGGGTACAGGGGCCTAAGGACTTGGGCCATCCTCTACTCCTTTCCCAAGTCATAGCAGAGAGCTGGATTGGAAGAGGAGCAGCCGGGACTTGAACCAGCGCCCATATGGAATGCCAGCACTACAGGCTGCAGCTTTACTCGCTACTCTGCAGTGCTGGTCCCTTGTAGATCCCTTTTATCAGAATAAGAAAGTTCCCTTCTATTCCTGGTTTGCTTGCAAGTTTATCATGAATGGTCTGTTAAATTTTCAGCTAGCTACTTTTTTGTATCCTGCCATGTAATTATATGCTTTTTATTTTGTAGTTGGTTAGAGGGTGAGTTGTATTAATAGATTTTTCTAATGTTGGCTCATTCATATATTTTTAAGGCAAACCCTAGATGATCTTTTAATATACTTTTGAATTCAGTTTGCTATTTTTTCATGTATCCATTATTGGCTGATAATTATCTTTTCCTGCTTTTCTTTTTTTGAAACCAAAGGTTTGCAATTAGCAACCTCTTTAAGTGCCTCTGTAAATGCTAGTATTTAATACTATTTTCACACCTTTCTATCTCTGAGTCTGATGTCTTTTTGTCTTTTTTTCTTTCTTCAAAGAATAGATTTTTCATTATTACAATTTCTGCTTTGTTAGAGTTATTATTCTGGTGACTTTTCTGTTTTTTTTTTTTCTGGTCAAATATGTATGTGTAAATGTGTATGTGTGTGAGTTTCCACCAAATGTATAAT